GTTAGCCATGCCCTGACTTAGATCAGCCCAGAGGTCATTACATTGTTGAACTGACAGTCTGTCAACTTACCAAGCATGTAGAACAAAAGTGAACAAAGTCTAAAGAATTCTTCTCGGCTAATTGAATAATAGTCTGTCGAACACATAAAAAGTATTAACAAATAATGACCATCTTTTTTACGTCAGTTCCATAATTCATGTATGTGAGCCACCATGTTGGATGATAATTATGGTACCTAGACTTACTCGTTTTTGCTCGGCTGGTGTGGTCTTGAGGTAACCTGGGTCGGTTGTCCATGCCTTGTAAAAGCAGTACATCAGGCCAGCAGTATTCGCAAAGAAAATAATTAAGACCTTTGGTGTTTTCACGATTGCACATGGTTAAGGAAAACTGAATGAGCTATGAGTATGTATAATTAAGTGAAACTATCCCCGAACTACCCTACCCTACCCTCACAAAATATAGGCTAAATATGTTATGCTAGAGAAATGAGAGTTGTGCATTATTTCGTGGTTAGAATCCTAAATGGCACAGCGGAACACACTCACACGTAAATAATTTGAATGAAATTTAGTTTTTTACTGTCACCAGTCAAAAATAAAAAAGGTACTGACTGATGATTAGGTTTGATTGAATTGATGGCCGCAAAAAAACAAATTTCAGCATGCAACTCGCAGACACAGAAATGGATGTTTATGATTTAAACTGCAGAAACAAATCTCACTTGTGTTATTGTGTACTTCCAGAAATTATCCATAGCCGACCCACAGAGGAATTTGGAATTTCCGAAGAGTGGGGGGGAGGGGGGTCAGAGAAGGAGCTTAAAATTACAGAGTTTGTATTGAAGAAAATTGGAATTTCTGGGGGTAGGGGGGGGGTCTTAAAAAATTCCTCCGTGATAGGGTTATGGATAATTTTTGGAACTACACATTGACCCCTAGGGATTATGTTATGTTAATGCTGAAGGATATAGGGCCAATAATAAACAAACCAAGTGGTATACATATAGCACTTAGTTGCTAGGTATATTGCACAAGGCAACACATTACCAGGATCAGTTTGAATATTTAAAAATCTGAAAAAATAAACGTTTTGAGAAGAATAAATATTAACATGCACCTTAGAAATGACAAGTATGTGCCGCAATGTAACCTATGTGCAATAGACCCCACCTCCTCCATCGGAATGCAGTTCAATAAGCCTGAAGCGAGATGACGTTTTACCCCCAACTCTATACCATAATAGTTTTTAAAATTCTTTCATATTAAAATTTTTGATTCCTTAGATAATACAGGAACAATAGTCATAATTAAAGAACAAAAGCAATGTGAAAAGGATTATGGTCTAGAGATGGGGGTAAAACGTCATCATGCTTCATGCTTATTTGGAAAGCATTACAAAAGGTTTCAAATCCTCATGGGATTGAATTCTTTTGTTATTGACCTCCAAATTGAGCTGCTTTGACGTCACATGTAAGGGGTCTATTGACCTGCTGTGACATCACATGCAAGGGGTCTATTGAGCTGCTTTGACGTCACATACAAGGGGTCTATTGAGCTGCTTTGACGTCACATACAAGGGGTCTATT